TAACTAAATTTTACAGTAGGATTCTACAACAGATTCTACAATTAAAACTGGATATTTAACAACAGCAACAACAATAACTAAATAAACAATAAATACGAGTAGCAAGAAGATGATCTTAACAGTATCAGAAATAATATTTGATTCAATGCTTAAAACTGGATATTTAACAACAGCAAGAAGAAGAAGAAGAAGATGATCAGGCCTATTTTTCGATTGGCCCTCTCGATTAGTCCTCACGATTGGCCCTCTGTCGTCTCATCGACATTCGACCGACGAAGACGAAGACGACGAATTTTGACGTCGAGTTTTAATAGAAAGACAACGACTCGACGGGGAATTATGCGGCGTTGGGCGCATAATCATGAGCGTAGTCTGATCGAGACAGTTGCTCTGATATGACCCCCTGCGAGAGTGGTCTCAATTTTAAAGTGCGACCGATAGACGACAGAAAACGATGAGAGAGAGAGAAAAATAAAGAGAGAAAAAGAAAGAGAGAGCTTGTAATGGAGCCGTCGCACGCGTGATTGGCGTAACAAGTCGGGCCTAGAATCGAATCCGACTTGTATACATATTACGCCTACATTCACATATATATCGTAGCCTGGATCTCAAGATGTGCACTCAAGAAAGAAAGAAGAAGAAGAAGAATAAGTAACAAAAGATAATATTAAAAGAAGAAAATAATATATTATATATCGTTAGTAAATATGTGATAAGTATGCCGCGAGCTTATGCCCCCTGCGAGAGTGTAGTGTCGATTTCAAAGTACAACCGACAATCATTCACGTGATAAATGCACAAATCTGTTTTCACACGTATAAGTATCTAATGTATATATATATATATATATATATATGTTAACTCGTTAATGATATATTTTTCTCTATCGGTTTCTATAACCAGCTGCACGACCGAGTTTCTCTCGTAATATAAGTCATTTTTTTCGAATGATCAATAGTCTTTTCTTTTCCAAAAAAATGTCGACAAGCTGATAGGGTGAGAATGATTGACGATTGCAAAATGAAAATAGAAACAATTACCTACTTATTTTCCTTGATATTCGCGAAAATGCGAAATGAGAAGTTTTTTAAAATTGTATTGAAGTATTAATCTGATTTATTTTGTGTGCGTATAACTTATATATCCTATATGTAAGATTTTTCTCTTTAAACTTCAATGACCGATAAAGTCGTAGGAAAGAAAAAAAACAAAAAAATAAAAAATAAAATAATATTCTTCGTTCTTCGGGTGCGAAGTACATTGATTCGTGTTACTTGACCTGGCAATTACGCGGTCACTGCCACGGGATAATTTAAAAGGAATAGAAAATATCTTATGTGTCAGCGAATCGCGATGGCAGAGGTCCTTCTAAAACATAACACATTGATAAAAATGAAAAATACTTCTTTTCTAGCGTGCTAACTAATCTATTGACCTTAAGATTTTTGGCGTATCGGTGATAGTGCTTTGCTTTCATTGCGTTGACTCAATATTACCATCGTTGGGGTTTACTATACATAGATAAAAGAGAAAGAAAGGAAAAAGAAAAAAAGAAACAAAAAGGTGAAGTAAAGGACCCTCTCCACCCACATACCAGTGCAATCTAATTTCTTTCCTCTTAAAAGAGAAAAAGAAGAATGTCTTCTTCCCTGTTAATAGAAGAAGTCAAGTACGGTGGGGTCAAAGAGAAGAAGAAGAAGAAAAAGAAAAAGAAGTAGAAGAAGAAGATGTATATTCGACAATCATGAACGATTAGTCAGACACGAGAGTGCATCGCGTGAAACACGTGGGACATTATACGTCCTTGGTGTCGTTCCCCTTTCTTCTACTTCTACTTCTTCTTCTTCTTATTCATTTTCATTTTCATCCTTCGATATCTCTCTCTCTCTCTCTTTCACAACTGAACAGACAAACGATAGAAGTAACAAATGCAGTGGCTTTAAGACAACATTTTGCAAGTACGATATCATTCTCTTACATATGACATAACAAAAGTAAACCTAACCGAGTAAAATATCACTGCACTTGGTGTAGTTGCAATTACATCTATTAATAGATAACCAAGAATACGCGTATACGAAGCTTTCATCTCGATTGCACGTTACTTTACCATGAAAACAATAAAACTTAGTGTGTACGAGTTGGCCTTCTCTAAGACAACGACTCAGATACATCAGATCAGTCGTCAAGAATTTCACTGATTACTCGCAAAGTAAAAAACAATAATTGTTCTTCTCAGTTGTCCCGTTAGATCATAAAATTTCACAACTATGAAAGGATGTGTGCCTTATTGTTCGAGGATCTAAAGAGATATGTTGAAAATGTGTTTCATTCGCGTATGGAACAGTTAATAATAATAACGCTTCCATTCTCGTGATTTAATAATTATCTTTCTTCCTTAACTGGATCGAATCTTTCAAACGCATAATCCTCGTGCACTAAATCGTCTTCTTTTATTTAACAGGTATGCTTCGCGGAAATCGTTAAAGCGGCCGGCCGGACCAGATACGAAACGCAAGCGTTCCTTTTCATTTGAATTGTAAATTTATTCATAAACTAGATAATTGGTGTGATCGTTAAAGTTCTCGTACTAAATCCTACGGATTTATTATTCACATTTATAGTTAGTCTTCATTGTATCAACTGACAAAAAAAATCTTCATATTTATGGAATAGGGTAAAGCGGTGTGTTTCAATGATAAATTTTCTTTTTGGAATTTGAAAGAGAAAGATTTAATGAATTGTGTTTTTCTATACAATTCATTTGTTAAATAAAACTTCAATTTGATGATAGAGTGAAATAAATATACGTAATCAAGCTTGTTTACAGTTTTCATTCGTCTATGGTTTCTATGAATAGACGAGGGAGTCTAATGGACTTCATTTTTCATTCAAGATATCAGAATTGGTACAATCGTTGGAAAGAAACGAGGGTAGGAGGTCGAACGAGCCGTTTCTATTTTTTTCTTCTTTCTCTCTCTCTCTCTCTCTCTTTTTCTCCCTCTATTATCTCGTGAAAAGTACGGAAAATTTATCGCATTAATAATAATAAGACTAAATAAAAGTATATTACGATTAATTCGTGATTCAGATAAACACAAGGCATCCATTGTTTCCTGTTGGTCAATAGAAATCTAAGATTACGCGGGGATGATCCTTTTAAATGTATTTATTTAAACAAAACAACTCTCGTGCAATTAATGTTTCTCACGTTTTCATTCATGGAATTGTAAAAAATAATATATTCCAAAGAAAATGATCTTCGTATTCTTACAATGTGTCCAATACGATTATTATTAATAAAATACCGCGATTACACTTCGTACATTATTACGATATTTACAAACGTTTTATGAAAATGAAAACGATCGGTCAACGACTACGCGAATTATCTATCGATTAATATATTTATCTTCTTTTTTTCTATTAACAATATTTTTCCTGAATTGTTATTCCTTGTATGCGATAACGTAAAAAATGATAGGAAAATAGAAAAACAAAACAAAACAAATTATCAATGATAAAATATAATAAATATAAATTGCAATTGAGAAAAACAAGATCGCGAAGATGCGAAAGCATTGAACCCCCCCCTCGGCGTCTTCCCCGTCACCACCCATTGCAATTTCTTTTCGAGACAGCTGGTCAAAGTAAAGAAACGAAGTGGAAAAGAAGAAGAAAAAAAAAATAAAATACTTAGGATAGTAGTAGAATCCTCTGTGTAAACGTCAACCCCTTCCCATTCATTTCTGCAATCGGTGTGCACGCGTTTGTCCACCAACAGGCATGCTCTCCTTGTTTATCCCCTCTCTCATAGCACTCTCGGGAGTCTGTAAAATCTGGAACAAGAACCTCGTGGTGAGACGAACCGGTACCAGTGCCACCGAGAGAGTCGGTAGCAACGGAACTCTTCTGAAGACACAATTTGGTCTGTCTAACATCGGTCTCACATCTTTTCTTTATATATATATATATATATAAAGAAGAATTACTAAGAGGAAGAATCAAGAATCAAAGTGAACCGAAAAAACATTTCATTCATTCTTCTGCTGTTGTTTTTTT